TGACATGCAGTTTTGGCACTTAATAAATGTTGATTGAAGAATACCTATTGTCCATCCTATGGTTTTCAATTGGATAGATAGCCCATTTTTCGGGTACATCTGTACATTTATCTTGGACAGACACTGCAGATGGGCATGAACAGGACACAGAATTCAAGAGAAGGAAGTAGTTGGAATTGTTCTCGTACTTCTCAACCTTCTGAGCCATTAGGGACTGCCAGGCTTCCACGAAGTAGCCAGAGCAGCCACAGCCATGGCTAGTGTTACTGTAGCGTTAGACTCTATCAGCCAGGGACTGTGGCTGTCAGAGATTAGCCTACAGAGGTGACACGATCCTGGAGCAGAGATGAGGACTGGAGAGTGAGGAGTCTTAAACTAGTCTTAAAACTAGTAGCTATTGAGAATCTTCTTGGTCCGTGAGGGAGGGAGGACTACTTTCTTTCACCAATCTACTTTCTCTTAGAATAGTCCTTGATCCAGACTAGGCATCCCAGACCATCCCCTCACTCTCTCCCCACTTACACACACACACACACACACACACACACACACACACACACACACACACACACACACACACACACACACACACACACAGCTGTTCTAATCCCTTTCCTTGGTCTGCAGGCATGTGTGGTTCCAGAATTCTCTGATCGCACCCAAGGAACTGAAAGGGTATGAAGGAGGAAGTTTGGGGAGATAGCTGAATGGGTAGGTCTTATATAGGATAGATTAATACCTTTTCACCTTCACCATATTCAATAACCTATGTGGTTACAGTTTGTGAAGTGTCTGATCCCTGTAAATGTGTGGGGTCATGACTATAATCTAAGTATAGGTGGGGTTGGAGGTTCCGGATTTCATGTTCATGTTTTTGAGGAATATTCCGTATCAGTTAAATTTAGATTCAATTCAGCCACTAGAAGCCACAAACCATGGTGCTAGGTGATGAGCCTGTGTTTGCAGGATGAGTATCCTCTGGTGGTCAGAGAGAATAATGTAGCCTTTTGGGAGGTTATCCCAAACGTGAGTCAGAGAATAACTGAGATGGCTACAGAGTTGATGGCCGCAGAGATATTATGCCCCCGAGCTGAATTTAAATATACAATTACATGTTATTATCCTGTAGGTTTAAAAGATTCAGCTCACAAGCCAACTTGGACTGCTGCCACCATTGGTATTATATATAATGCTATTCTATTGCCCTTTTAAAATCTGTTCTATTCCTTTTTCAGAAATAGCTTTCTGAGATTTTTCTCATCATGAATCTCATCTTACCAAATGTCAGTGATAGCTTCAATTTACTTAATTTGAGCCATAGCTCAAATTTACTTCCTTATATTGAGGTATCTAGTTTAGCTTCTTTATAGCTCACTTTGTGAGCTATATTATACACTTTGTGTATCTGAATATAGATATGTAACGAGCTTTACTGCTGCTTCTCTTCTTAGATACTGTCTACTGTTGATTATTGTTTTCTCTCTTATGCTATTCTCCTTATACTGTACTTGCTGCTTTCAATGGTAGCAAGCTTCTCAGCTCTATGAGGGTAACTTTCTTCCCATGACCACTTTTCAGTTTAAGATTTTTTTTTGTCTCCTGGTGAATATATTTACTGGTCCTCAGGTGTACTCCATCTTTGGCCAGAAGCCCATTATTCCTATATTTTAATCTATGGTCCAAAAATTCAAATCCAATTTTCCTATGCCATCTTTTTAACTAGCTATTCACTTCCTAAATCTGCCTTTCTCTTCTGAAACCCTACCTTCAGTTGATAGTTGAAAAATACTACAGGTGTTCCTAAAGTCTTTAGTATTTTGCCTAAGACCACACAATAACTAGTGTAGCAATAAATCTGCCTTTCTCTTCTGAAACCCTACCTTCAGTTGATAGTTGAAAAATACTACAGGTGTTCCTAAAGTCTTTAGTATTTTGCCTAGGACCACACAATAACTAGTGTAGCAATTCCTCTGACCTCAACCTCCAGGTACATATCTTTTTTTTTTTTTAAGTGGGGCATTATGGGTTAAGTGACTTGCCCATGGTCATACAACTACACAGCTAGTAAGTGTTAAGTGTCTGGTCTGCGACCACATTTGAACTCAGGTCCTCCTGACTCCAGGGCTGGTGCTCTATCCACTGTGCCATCTAGCTGCCCCTACATAGCCTTCTTGAGGAGTTGGAGTATCTTTTTCTAATGCTACTGGCCTACAGCCCCCATTCCCATGGGTTCCCTCTCTTTTAGATGTCTGTGATTAACACCCAGTACCATTTAATCAATTAACATTAATTGAAAGAGATATTTCCTTCTAAAATCATCTTATCTATCTATGTATCTAGCAGTGCCAACATTTCGCCCAACACCTGGGGGGCACCCTCAACCATCATCTTGGTCTCTCTGGGAATGGGCCCAGATTTTTCTCAGTATTGGTCTCACTAAGTTCAAATCCAAATGTAGCATTGTTGCTGGATGATTTCATATCTGAATCACTACTGGGCTGAGTCCCAAAGGTCACTCTTTTCCTTGCTCCTTGGGGCCTCAGTGCTGGACTGCCTGGCTGCAAAACCAAGCATAAATTATACTCCTGCACCTCCTCTGGCCCTCCTTCCTGGCCTTTTGGAGGTATGTTCCCAGAGCCTCTGAGAAATCTCACCTGTCAAATGAGCCGGAGAAGGAAGTGGTAAACCACTCCAGTGTCGTTGCCAAGAAAACCCCAAAAGGGGTCACCAGGAGTTGGACACAACTGAAAAAACCTGAACGTCTCAAAGCATCTCCTCAACCCTTTTAGACTGCTTTTATTTTATTCCACTCTTTATAAAAGAAAAACATTGGTGTGATTAATTCTGGCGTGGGCAGAGGTTAGGGAAGAGGTTTGGATCTCTGTAGGATAGGAGACAGCTGTTTCAGCAAGACTGAGGTGTGTATGTGTGTGGAGGGGGGAGGTGAGGAAAGGCAGACACTGACGGAACACAACGGAGGCATATTTACACCATACCCTCAGCTCCAGTATGTTTCCATAAAGCAGAGAATGTGTGTGTGTGTGTGTATATATACACATACACATGTATGCCTGTATATATGTATGTATATGTATACACATATACATAGAATCATTCTCTGCTTTATGGGAATTACACTAAATAACTTTATAGATGTATGGATTTCTATAGAAGTATATGTAAAATATATACTGTATGTATGTATGAATGTATTATATACATGTGCCTATATATACATATATAGGCTTCTACACAGAGATCCAAACCTCTCCCTTAACCTTTGACCCACACCAGAAATATGTGTGTATATGTGTATGTGTATGAGTATGTGTATGTATATGAGCATGTATATGTGCATGTATATGATTATGTGCATATATATGTGTATGTATATGAATATGTATCTGTATCTGTATATGTACATGAACACATATTGGTTGGTTGTTGTCCTTCATTCTCCACGAGGACCAAAATGACATCACTGTGTTACAGTCTGACTGTTACTGATCAGACCAATACGGGCTGGAGCTGGGCATGTTCTACCACAGATTGTCTACAAATAATCTATGTGAACATTTGAGGTGGATTCTCTACATTTTCACATCTTGTGTTTCTTTTGAACTACTTCAGTTCTGCTTTGCTCATAGAGACAGCACCTTCTCTCAGGTGGGCACACCATGCTGGGTGGTGCTGTGCCACCGTTTCCCATGTCACACAATCAATTCTAAAGTTCTTAAGGGAGACATTGGGAGTGTCCTTGTATCACTTCTTCTGACCACCATGAGAACGCTTGCCCCTTGTGAGTTCTCCATAACTTCTCCCTTAACCTTTGCCCACATCAGAAATACACACACACACACACACACACAGAGTACATATACATGGATACACACATATGTATATACATGTAAATATATACTATGTGTGTTGTGTATTAGTAATTTAAGCCCTTAGGCAAAAAACTAAAAAAAAAACAAGCCCTGACCGCTTGGAGTCCCTTGGTAGGAGGAAGCAGTCAGCACCCCCTGAGCTTACTGCTTGCAAGTAGTATACCATGCCAGGTGGGGACCACACAATTTCCATGTCTTCTTTATTAAGTGGGAGCCTCTCTGTTACCTCTGAACAGCAGCAAGAAAAAGATCACTGGAATGAATGAGAAGTGATCGGGTGAATATCAGTAAAGGTAAGAGGGCCCCTTTCTATGAATCTGGCTGAGAAAGGGAGGATCGATTTAAGATAGTGGCTTGCAGGAATGGTCGGGTCAAATGAAGAAGTTTTTAAGGGAGGGCATGTTCATGTCTCTAGGCAGCCGGGAAGGAGCCAGTGGCTGGGGGGAGGGGGAGGGAAGATCTGAGACAAGGCGATGAAATGCACGAGTCGAAAATCGCCCGGTGCAGAACGCAATACTTTGGCCGGCTTTGCACAGGGCTGAGAAAGGCGCTGGATCCAGACAGAGAGGAAGTGACCCTTTATACGGCACTGAATGCCCATCACACGTAGCCCCCAGGGGGAGAGACGAGCAGCTCAGACAGGCCTGGAGCAGCCTGAGAACCAGGGCGCGCGGCTCGCAGCCTGAACCCAAGTCAGCCAACCACGAAGGGCGGTGCAACAATGGGGCACCTGACAGCCAATCCTCGGCGAGCTCTCGGCCCCGGCTAGTCTCCGTCCAATGAAGTGCCAAAACGCCATCATTCTGCGCGATCGTCGCCTGCCTAGATTCCTGGCTGTGTTTTTGGCAGTTGGCTGTTGGTTTTTCCCGCAAAGGGTTTGAGAGTGGGGTCGAGGGGAGGGCTTCAGGAGCGGCCCTATAAAGGCTGGGGCTGGCCTCCCTCAATTCCTGCCCGCCCGCCTTTCTCCAGCTTTGGCCTCTGGACCCAAACCTGCGCAGAGTCCCTTTTCCGATCACGCCTGCGCAGAGTGGGAGGACATTTGGCGGGGTGTGTGGAGGCGTGCCGGTAGACTCCCTTCCGGAGGGCCCTGCCGAGCCGCGCCTGCGCACAGGTGCCTGATCGGTTCCGCAGAAATGCAGTCCCTACTGTCCCTGTGCGCTGTGCAGGTGACCCGACACCAGGCTCTGGCGTGCCGGGCTCTGGCCTCCCTGCCTCGGGAGCTGTACCCGGCCTTATTCCAGGCCGCCTTCATGTATGGCAGAACGCTGGTGCTGCAGGCACTGGTGCAGACGTGGCCCTACCCATGCCTCAGCTTCCGGCAGCTGCTGCCCCAGCCCAAGCAGCTGGGCTGGCCCGAGCGGCCCCGTAAGGAGAGTGTGCAAGCCGTGATCCTGGCGCTGCTCGCAGCGCCGCGCAGGTAAGCCAAGCCGAGGCAAGGCGCTGGCATGGGGAAAGGGGATGCGGTCTTGGGGCCCCTCCGATTTCGAGATGCTGTTCAAAGAGCCCTGTAAATTCCTGTCTAGTAGAGAGGGGTGGCATGCATGCACATAAACACACCAGGAAGCCTGCTCTCTAGGATCGGAAAGACCAGATCAGTGGGCTCTGTAAACAAAAAATATTTAATAAATGATAGTTGAATGAATGAACGAGTGGGGCAAGAGGGATGCAGTTTTGAAATTGCCTGGCACAGACGTTTTGTGCTAGCCCCTGGAGCCTTCCGTTTCAGACTCTGAAGGGCCAGGGTGTGATTTTGGGCTGCCCAATGGGACATCACGTTTGCCAGGTATTTGTTGGTTGGGAAGCTTTTTACAAGCCTCTAATAAGCTGTCTGTGGGGAAACTGAGGTATTTCTGAGCAAACTGTTTAAGAAGCTTGTCATTCCTGAGGCTGGGCTCATTCTTAACACATCTATTTGTGCTTTCCCAGCAGGGAATCTAGCAGCAGGTAGGTCCCTGGCCACATCCCTTTATCATGGGGTAGGCAAAGAAAAGGAGCCTGACCTGGAACTGCCAAACTAGGGACTGAACCAAGGCAGTTGGAGCCTGGAGCCTCAACCTGGAACCTCAACATCTTCCTCAAGGGCATCCATTCATCTCTTTTATTTGTCAAGGTCTTCTGGTTTGGAGAGGAAGTGAGGAAGATCTGAACTTCCGTTCCTTCCAGCTCTATAAGTATAATAATTAGCATTTTATGGAGCTTTAAGGTTTGAAAAGCACTTTACATATGTTAACTCATTTGATCCTCACAACCACCCTGTAAAGTGGGTGTTATTATTATCCCCATTTTTACAGATGAGGAAACTTAGGCAGATAGAAATTAAGTTGACTGGAACAAGGTCACAAGGCTAGTTAGTATCTGAGGCATAATTAAAACTCAGATCTTCCAGATTCCAAGTTCTGGGTTCTGTTTTTTGTGCCATCTAACTATGGATCTATGAATCCTTGATGTCATTGCACCAAAGACATAACAATCCATATATAACTTAACATATAATGTGAAGGATTAATTTTAGATGACAGCCTGGAAACAGGGTCCAGTTAAGTTGTAAGAGTCCATGGAGGCCTAGACTTGGGTGGTAGCAGTGGTTGTGGAGAAGAGGGGATAGAATTTTTCAGAAATAGAAACACTTAGGACCTGACAACTAATTATATGAGGAGTTGGGGAACTGGAGGGCAACACCATGGATTCACTGACAAAGGAATTTATTGGTTATTTATACTGCCCTTGGGATGACTGAGGAGTGTCCATATCCCTTATTTGGTTAGACTTTGTCTTTACATCTGAGGCTTGGCTGGTTTTCACCATACCTTCTTGGGATCTGCGTGTCAGGGTGGGGATGGAGAAAACTTTAAGGAAAGGAAGGAGGTAGGACTAAAACAGGGGAGGGGAATCTGTGGCCTCAAGGCCACATGTAGCCCTCTAGGTCCTCGAGCGTGGCCCTTTGATTGAATCCAGACTTCACAGAACAAATCCCCTCAATAAAAGGATGTGTTCTGTAAAATTCGGACTCAGCCAAAAGGCCCCAGCCAAGGACCTAGAAGGCCACATGTGGCCTTGAGGCCAAAGGTTCCCCACCCCTGGACTAGAATCTTGAATGCAACAAAAGGCAGGCAAGATGTGACTGGAAGATTGGGTCTGTGACTGACCAGGTATCTACACACCTAGACTGTGGTGGGAAAGAGTTTTGAGTACTAGGAGCAGGACCCTGAGCTAGAGATGTTTGGGGAGGAGGGCTAATTAGGTCTGGGGCCCCGAAGTCCTCATCTTCCTTTGGGACATCTGCTGGCCCTGTTTCCCTGACCAGAGTGAGCTGTGCAGGTCATGGTCTCAGCCTTTCTCACCTTTCTCTCCTTGCAGGAGGCCTCAGCTTCGAGTGTTGGACATGACTGGCTTCCTGGATGCCAGCTGTGGGCAGGACCCCACGACCATGAGCATGTGGGCTCGCTCAGTGGCTGTGGCAAGGACTTGTCTCAGTGCCCAGACTCAGGCCAGAGCAGCGCAACGCTTAGCCAAGCGCCGCAAGCTGGAGCCGCAGGTCCCTGTCACTAATCCTGTGGAAGTGCACACTGACCTGCTGGTGAACCGAACTTCTTACAGCGTCCTGAAGGAGGCTCTCCAGACCAGTACTTGTGGCCCCCTTCGCCTTCGCTGCAGGGACCTTTGGGCTGAGGAACTCTCAGGTCCTAGCACTGTAGCTCTCTTGGAGCTGCTAGACCCAGTGTGCTTGCGCCAGGTAGACCTTCGCTTCAGTAACCTGGGACTTTCAGGCCTGTGTACTGTCGTGCCCCACATGGCCAAGTTCACCCACCTGTTGAGCCTGAAGCTACAATACAGCAATGTGGATGTGCGGAGGCTCACAGCTGAAGCAGAAAGCAGCTTCCAACACTTTGTTTCAGCAATTGGCCAGCTGAGGTGCCTCAAGGAACTCAACATGGGTTCCTCTAGACTCTCAGGCCGCCTTCATCAGCTCCTTAGGTGAGTGGGCCTAGGCCCCAAGCACTAGCCTTTTTTTCAAGTGGGAGAGGCAGGTAAGAGACCTACGCCTCAGCCTTACAGTAGTTTCTCATCAGGTATACTTTCTAGGACACAGGTAGGTAGTTGGCTTGGAGGCAGCTAGCTGGCTCAGTGGAAAAAGTGCTGGGCCTGGAGTCAGGAAGACCAGAGTTCAAAGACAGCCTCAGACACTTACTAGCTGTGTGACCTGGGGCAAGTCACTTAGCCTCTGTTTGCCTTAATCCCCTGGAGAAGGAAATGACAAACCACTCTAGTACTTTTGCCAGGAAAAACCCATGGACAGTGTAGTCCCATAGGGTCATGAAGAGTTGGATACAACTGAACAACAAATATTTTCTAGGTCTTTCTTGGAAAGGGGAAAAGCAGGATGCCTCCAAAGGGTCACAGGATGGGGGCTTAAATATTTTTGCCTCCTCGACCCCTGAATTGGAAGCAAAACAAGTTGGAGCTCAGAAAGTAGGGTGTTGAGTAAGTGAAGGTAGCAGCTGCTATTTGATGGTGCCTGTGTTGCTTGGACTTTACTTGGCACTCCTCATGAGCACTCAGGCTCTTGTAGGATTAAAAACAACCCCAAGCAGAAGTTTTGGTGTTTGGAGGAGGGAGGAGGATGGTTAACACAGTAGGAAAGGGGCATCCCCAGGGTGGTATGGCTTGGGGAGATTGGCTAGGAACAGAATAGATCCAGGTACGTATGGTCTAGAACTTGAGGGTTCAGCACAGCAGGAGGGGTTAAAATCATTAAGAAGAATGTTGGGATGGCACAGGCCCTTTCCTCCTAAAGCTGTATTTCCCTAGGACCAGTACCTGCTCTGGGGGCTCTAATCATGGCTAGTGTGAGTATGAGAGTAGAAGGATTTAAGCCTGACCTAGCCATGGGTGTCTATGTATCTCAGCTTCTGTACTAGAGCTCTCCATTGAAATGACCAGGGCCTGTATCTCTTCTCTGCAGCAGCCTACAGGGCCCTCTGGAAAGCCTGGAACTTCCCTTCTGTGCCCTTCTCCCTGGGGACTTGAGTTACTTGGCCCAGAGCCCCCATGCCACCCATCTCAAGAAGCTGGACCTCAGTGGCAACAAACTATCTGGTGACTTCCTGGGCCCCTTCCAGAGACTCCTGAGAGAAGCCTCAGCGTCCCTGCTGTGTCTGGATGTCACAGAGTGCCAGCTCATGGACGTCCACCTCGTCAGCACCTTGCCTACCCTCCGCTGCTGTACCCACCTCCGCTACCTTGGTCTCTATGGGAACCCTCTTGCTAGTGCTGGAATGAAGACCTTGATTGAACACTCCCAGGCGTTTCGTGAGCTCCAGCTGGTTGTATACCCAGTCCCTGTGGATTGCTATAAGGACCTGCCATGGCCACCCTCTTCAGCCAACCTCCTAGAGGGTACTGTGGATGAAGAGAAGCTGGCCAGTGTGCAAGCTGAGCTGCAGCAGTTGATACGGGCCACACAGCACCATGATGTGCTGTGGACTGTGGACATCTATGGCCACAGCAGTTTTGACTACTTTAGCCTGTAGTATATGTGTATTTATGGGGTGGAGGGAAGGGGAGGAGTGGGGAGGGGAGGGAAAGTGTGGGGAGAAACACTATTCTTCTGCTTTGCTGTTTAGATGCAGGATCATCCCAAGGCAGTGAGTGCCTCCTCTGAGCTTTGGCAGAACCAGTATGTGCTCCTGTATGGGTTGTGTTAAGGGGGTTATAGATTTTCTATGCCCTGTCCATGCTGGACATAATGGCAGAATTGTTCTAGGGCCTTTCTGGCTTTCAAGGAGGAGTGTTTTTTTTTTCCCCTCTGCTTTCCTGGAGATATTTATTGTAATAAACTCCAGGACCCATGAGCACAAAACCTGAACTTTCAGTCACTCCCCTAGTGTTCTTCCCCACTCCCCTCCCCCCACCTGTCATAGATGATTACAGACCACACCACCAAAAATAAAGGCAATACCAATGTAAAGGTCTCCTCTGTTACAAACGGTCCCACCGAACCCAACCTCCCCTGTTCAGCGTTCCCTCAGCCCTAACCCCACTTCCCTCACTTCCAACCCAGTGCGTCTGAGGGGCAGGGTAACTGATTTCCCTACTACTGCTTGGTGGGCCCATACCCTGAGAGCTAAGGACAATAAGGGAAGGGGGGAGGAACCTTCCCTGACCACCCTCATAGGAGCCAGGTGTCCGAGTGGCGGGTACAATAGCAGGCCTGAAGCAATAAGGCATGCAGTTCCTTATAGGCCTGCTCCCGCCAGTGAGGCAGCAAGGTCTGGTTATTGAGGACTCGAAGATTGGGGGTCCCACGGCACAGAAGTGTATAGAGGCAGGCCCAGCGACTTTGCAGAGCCAGGCGTGTGCGGCAGTTGAGGATAATTCCCCGGACTGTCTTCTTTACCCGAAGAGCTTTAAGTGCTGGCAGGTCAAGGTGACGGAAAACTAGGCCTCGGCTCTGGGACACATCGAGAGTTTCCAGGGATCGGGACTCAAGTGCATAGGATACACCCAGGTCCTTGACAGGCACAAGCACGTGCAGGACTAGGGTCTTAAGGTTGGGCAGAGCCTTAGTCAGTTCCTGCATGGTATCCGGACACACACCCTTGAAGCTCCAGAAGTATTTGAGCTCCAGGGTGCGGAGCTGCTGGAAGCGGGTGAGCAGCGCCACTGATCGGGCAGACCAGTCAAAAGGTAGCTTGGCCCGGCTGAGGCGGGGTGCCCGCACGAGCAGCCTCTCCAGCAGCACCTGGAAGTTGTGGATCTGGTCCAGCTTGGTGAGGCTCACCTGGGTCATGCTGCACGTGCCTGGCGGGTAGAAGTCCGGCGGCTCCAGGTGCGTCAGGGTCCAGTTGAGCTCCAGGTCCCGCAGATCCCCGCAGTGGACGCCCTCCAGGAAGCCGGTGAGGAAGTCGGCCCAGCGGGCGCCCTGGTCAGCCAGGTCGAAGCTGGCTCGGAGCCGCAGCAGGCTGGCCCCGCGGGCCATGAGGTGGTAGGCGTACTGGTGCACCCAGTCCTTCCAGCGCTCAAACTCCCGCGCCGACACCAGCACCACCTCCAGGCCCGACTGGAAGGCTCCGAGCCGCATGAAGTCGGCCGTGCGCCACAGGCGGGGCGTGCGCATCAGCTGGCTCCAGGCGCGGCACACCTCGGCCGCCGTGCACTTCTCCGCCTCCGTCAGGAACGAGAAGACGTGCAGCTGGCAGTCCACGGGCAGCAGGCCGAAGGGGAAGACGCTGCGCCCGCCGGCCCGGCCCACCTCCCGGGGAGAACGCCGCCTCGCCGCCGCCGCTTCCGCGGCATCGCTGCGGCCGAGGCTCCCCGCGGCTCGGCGGGCTCCTGGGGTTGGGAATGGCGGGGGTGAGCGCAGCCCGGGGAGCCCAACGGCCCGCGGCCCCGCCCCCGCGCTTCCCCTTCTCAGACCCCGCCCCCAAGAGGCCCCGCCCCCCGAGGCCTGGGCCCACCGCCCCACCTCCAGCCCAGCCCACCTCCGAGGGAGTCGACCCCACCCCTCAGCCCGGGCCCGCCTCACCATGGGAACACCGCGGCCGGCCCCTCCCTCCGGCCAGCAGGCCGGCCCTCCATCCCAGCCACCCCCTACCTGGCAGTTCCGGGCACGAGCGATGCTTTTTCTCTGTCGCGGCGCCAGCCTAGCGCGTCTCAGAAACCGCCAGAAGAGGGAGGAAGGAGCCAGGTTGGATCTCCTCAGGAGTCACCAGTCGGCGCGCGCACTCCTCTCTCACTTCGGAGCAGACGAGTTCGCAGCCTAGAGCGACACCTCCCGCCCTCTTCTGACGGAAGTGACGTCAGCCGCAGACTAGGGAGTCTCCGAGGCTGACGGGTTACAACGAAGGGCCCCCTGGCGGGGTGGGGGGGGGGAGACTCGGGAAAGCTACTGTGGAGGTTATTCCCGCCCACCTGCCCACTTGGGCGCTCTCGGCGAGTCTTTCGCTGGCTCCGGCTCAGAGCCGAGGCCGCTAGGGGGCGCTGTGGATAGAGCGCTGAGTCAGAAAGACCAGAGTTCAAATGCAGCCTCAGACGCTTGCATGACCTTATGCAAAACACACCTCTGTCGGCTTGGGGATATTAATCCTACCTCGCAGGGTGGTTGGGAGGATAAAACATTTGTAAAGCGCTTGGCACAAGGCCTGGCACGTAGTAGATGCTAGATAACTACTTATTCCCTTCACACCCCCTCCCCCCAATTTAGAGCTCATCTAGTCCAGTGAGGGGGCTGCTTCCTTTAAGAGGGACCCTTACTGAAGACATCTCTAGTCCACGGAACCCAGCACCTCCCTAGACGGCTCCCATTGCTCTACTGAACGTGGCTGCAGCTTGCTTGGTCAGGAAGCTTCTCTTTATGATAGGCCACAGTCTGCTGCTGCTGCTGCTGCCCCCTCCCCCAACTACGCGTTGTAAGTGCAGTTAGTCCCTAGGGTCCAGGGCAGCCTGCCCAGCCTGGGGATCCCACAGCCTCTGCACACGCTGTCTCCGCCCCGCCCCCGCCCGTCTGGTCTCTGCACTCAAGGTCTCTGCACGCCCAGTCTGGTCTCTGCACACGCTGTCTCTGCACCCCCCACCCCTGGTCTGGTCTCTGCACACACTGTCTCTGCAGCCCCACCCCCCCACCCCTGGTCTGGTCTTTGCACACAGGGTCTCTGCACACGCTGTCTCTGCACCCCCCAACCCCTGGTCTGGTCTCTGCACGCCCAGTCTGGCCTCTGCATACCCCTCGTCCCTGCCAGCCCCTGGGCTGCCCCCTCCCCACCCTCCCCTCCCCCCCGGTCCAGCCCAGGTTCTCAGCAGTGGATTTCATAAGCAATCTGTGGCTGGAACAAGAGGCCCTGGTCTTGGAGGGGCTCGGAGCTGGGGACCAGGCCCGGCCGGCCTGCGGCCGGCCCCTCCCCGGAATCCTCGTAGGTGGGGAAGAGGGGCTTGTTTCGGTTGATGACGAACATCTCATGGCCCCGCTCGTCCCGGTACTCCTCCAGCTGGGCGAAGGTTGTGGGGCCGTCCGAGTAGTCATTGACGTACAGGACGCTCTCCTCTTGTTTGGCTTTTTTCCTTTTTCGGTGCTTTCTGCAGATCATGATGGTCAAGAGCAGGGCCGTGAGGGCCAGCAGGGAGATGCCAGCAGCTATGGCCGTTTGCGTGGCCGTGCCCAGGGCGTGGAAGTCCATGCTGCCTGCCTCATACAGGGGCTCCCGGCTCACAGCTCCCGAAGCCGGGGCCGGGGGCCGGGGCGGCTGCTGCTGGGACAGGTTCACAAACAGGTGGAAGGGCACTCGGGTACTCCCTCCTGGATTGGTGGCCTCACATTCGTATTTTCCAGCATGGGCCATGGTGATGTTGGTGAGGGAAAGCATCCCGCTCCCTGTGTCTGAGGCCAAGTGCTCCCCCAAACTTCCCTCATTCAACCCAATAGCCCCACCCACCAACCGGACACTGGCCCTAGGCAGCCCCGTTCGGGACTGGGCCACCTTCCTCCAAGTGACCAGAGGCTGGGGGTACCCGGAGGCCTGACAGGAAACTCGCAAGTCATCCCCAAGCCGGGCCATCACCTCCACTGGATCCACGTGCACTGTGGGGGGAATGCAGATTAGGCTGTTGCCAGAGATGTCCAGGAGGCTCTGGTGGGCCAGGCGTGGGGGCTCAGAGCACACAATCTTCTTGTCTAGGGAGCTGAGGAGTCTCTGACCCCCTTCCTTGATCCAGGTCCTGAGCCAGTGCAGAGCACAGTCACAGCGCCAGGGATTCTCTGAAGAGAAAGGAGGGAAGTCAGTGAAGTTGACTCCCCCACCCCTATATCCCCACACATACATAGGGTCCTCCCCCTGTGTCTCACTGCCACAAATTCATGTCCCCCAAAAGCCTCTCCTGAGTCACCGTCCTCCTCCTCCTCCAAGACAAGTGTAAACCTCTCACCATTGACAAAAACAACAAAGCCAGACTAGACCTGGGCCCTCCCCTACTCCTTGCCTCCAACTCCCGGACCACCCCGGACCACCTTCACCCTTATCCCAGCCCCACATCACTCTCTCAGGGATTGTCCTCACTTTTTCCCCCTCTTGAAATACTCTTCTTTCCTTCTGTCTTCTCCCAATCCCTTCCCTGCCCTAGGACTGCCTTTAGACTCACCCTGGCTGCACAAAACCCTCTCTCAGATTGTCCTCATTATCCTTCTCTGTCCCACATGAAGTAGGACACCCTGATCATGGGATGAGGATCAGATTTACTGTGGAGGTTCCAAATGAAAGCCTGGGTCCGAACAGAGGCGGGCAGGGCAGGCACCCCAATCCATGAGAGCTGAGGCTCACGTCACTGCTGGGTCCAGCACATCCCCAGGGGCCTTGAAGGGAGGCAGGGGACTAGGCTGAGCCCTCCTTGGAAATCCCAACATATGTATATATGTATGACTGAGTCACATCTTAGCAAAGGAATAGATAGCATGGGAGAATTCAGTTGTTTATGAAAGGATAAAGAGTATTCATGAATTTGTTCTTTCATGGTAGACCAGAGGCAGTTCTGCAGGCCCCTACCATCCTTTTAGTTTTCAGGGGACATTTGGTGTCAAAGCTGTAATTTAGGTCCAATAAAGGTCGGTGAATCTCAGTTTCCCTTTGGGGGACCCAGCTCTGCCATCCCCAACAAAAAAGTGATACGTTGGATCTGGTCTGAGAAGCTGGGCTTGAGTCTGAGCTCTTAGCTACCTGTTTAACCTTGGCTGAATCATATAACCTGGGTTTTGTCATTGGTAAAAATGGGGATATCGGGGCAGCTAGAAGGCAGTGGATAGAGCCCTGGCCCTGCAGTCAGGAGGACCTGAGTTCAAATCTGGCCTCAGACACATAACATTCACTACCTATGTGACCCTGGGCAAGTCACTTGCCTAGCAAAATACCCCCAAAATAGAGATATCACTTCAAAGGCTTAGTTTCTCCCTCTGTAAAAAGAGGGGCATGAACTAGCTTATGGCTAAGGCTCCTTCCAGCTCTAAATTTAATATTCTATAACTTGCAGTGACTTCCTTCCCAGCGCTGTTGGGAGCACCGTCTTCACTTTTCCCCTGAGTTACTATCATGAGCCAGTTCAGACTTGACTCCTTTATGTATGTGTGTGTAATGTGATGGTCTTTCAGATGTGTGGATGCTTTTTGTGACTTGTGACCTCTGTGC